TCTGACCCAGGTGCCGAGCTGGCGACGGTGAGAGCGGGGCGGCGGGTCTGGAGGTCAGCGGCGTCTGTAATGCCTGGGTGTTCTTCTCTTGGCAGGAAAGCCGGGCGAGCGAGAAGAACAAAGGGGCCAAGAATGAAGAAGAAAAGGGAAAGGAAGCTCCTTCCAAAGACCTGGCCCGGAAACGAGATACGAAAGTGGGGAAGGATTCTAAAAAGGAAGAAAGCGTCCAGAAAACAGACCCGAAAGTTAAAGCTGAGGCTGAGACCAAGACCAAAGAGGAGAAGGCTATCAACGACAAAGTCAAGGCCATGGAGAGAAAGCTGCTGGGGAAGGACAAAAAGGAGGAAGAGAAGAGCTCAGCGTTGAAGAAGGGTGCAGGGAAGGATAAAAAGGAGGAAGAGAAGGGCTCAGCGTTAAAGAAGGACGTAGAGAAGGATAAAAAGGAGGAAGAGAAGAGCTCAGCATTAAAGAAGGATGCAGGGAAGGATAAAAAGGAAGAAGAGAAGGGCTCAGCAGCAAAGAAGGAGACGGGGAAGGACAAAAAGGAAGAAGAGAAGGGTTCTGTGTTGAAGAAGGGCACAGGGAAGGACAAAAAGGAGGAGGAAAAGAGTTCGGGATCAAAGAAAGAGTCAGGAAAAGACTCAAAGGGTGAAGAGAAGAAAGAAAAAGATAAACAAGAAGAGGAGAAGAGTTCAGCTTTGAAAAAAGCCAAGGCAGACGAGAAGGAGAAACCCCAGCCGGAGGCAGAGAAGGCAGCAGAGGAGAAGCAGGAGGCCAAGGCGGCAGCCGAGAGCGGCCCTGCCAAGCCCACCACCGGCAGCTCCGCAGATCAGGCCAAGGAGGACGAAGCCTCCAGCATTTTCGACGAGCTCATCGAGAAGGTGAAGAACAACGACGCCGAGGTCACCGAAGTGAACGTGAACAACTCGGACTGCATCAACAACGAGACCCTGGTGCGCTTCACCGAGGCCCTGGAGTTCAACACCGTGGTCAAGCTGTTCGCCTTGGCCAACACCCGCGCCGACGACCACGTGGCCTTCGCCATCGCCATCATGCTGAAGTCCAACAAGGTGCTGACGAGCATCAACCTGGACTCCAACCACATCACGGGCAAGGGCATCCTGGCCATTTTCCGGGCGCTGCTGCAGAACAACACGCTGACGGAGCTGCGTTTCCACAACCAGCGGCACATCTGCGGGGGGAAGACGGAGATGGAGATCGCCAAGCTCTTGAAGGAAAACACCACGCTTCTGAAGCTGGGCTACCACTTCGAGCTGGCCGGGCCACGCATGACGGTCACCAACCTGCTGAGCCGCAACATGGACAAACAGAGGCAGAAACGCCTCCAGGAGCAGAAACTGGCACAGGAACGTGGGGAGAAGAAGGAGCTACTGGAGGTGCCCAAGCCCGGAGCCCTGCCGAAGGGGTCCCCCAAGCCATCCCCGCAGCCGTCCCCCAAGGCCTCCC